CCCTCAATCCCTTCCTCTCCCTTCAGCCTTTCTTATCCTCCTTATTTACGAGGTTTTTATTCCCTTTTGATTCATTTTTTAACTTTATATAGATCAAATACATTTTCATTTCTTACAATTTCTTTTTTATTTTGATCATTTATTGAATTGAAATATACATGGTGATCATATGAGTAATAGGGAATTTGAACCCGTATATGATGTATCTCAGTTCTTCTGCTCCCCAGCCCCCTCCTCTCCCTTCAGCCTCTCTTATCCTCCTTATTTACAAAGTTTTGTTCTCTTTTAATTCATCTTTTGTCTTTCTTTTCAAGACATATCCATTTACCTAGAAATGTCTTAAGTTTATTCTTCTATATGGCTGAGTAGTACTCTGTTGTGTTGAAAAAACACAACCTTTTTGCTCATTCCTTGATTGATGGGCATTTGGGTTGTTTCCAAGATTTAGGTATTACAAACTGTGCCGCTATAAACATGTGTGTGCATACATTGCTATACTATGATATTTTTAATTCTTCAGGAAAGAGAAGTAGAATAGCTGGGTCAAATGGGACCTCTAATTCTACTTTTTTGAGGAATATACACACTGATTTCCACAGTGGTTACACACATCTGTATTCCCACCAATAGTTGAGAAGGTTCATTTTTTCCTCACAGCCTCACCAGAATTTGTTATTGGTTCATTTGTTGATAATATTCATTCTCTCCATTGTTTTAATTTGTATCTCTTGTATGACCATTGATGTTGAACACATGTTCATAATGAATTGATAATAGGACTTAAGGAGAGCCGGTTTACACATCTATAATAAGAAAATGAAGAGCATACACATTTAACAAAATTTAAAGCTAGATTGTTAGTTATTAACAGCTTATGTCAAAATTTTCTACAATCAACTTCTTATGCTTTGAGGGATAATGTTTCAAAATATTAACCTTTATAGTCCCTTTGGTTAAAGAAAAAGATGCACCTAGATTGCGTGATAGAGTTTTTAGATAGTTGCTATTGAGTGGACTTGGAAACATCAAAACCTAAGTTAAAATAATAATGAATTCCCAGAATTTGAAGCCCTCTGTAATAAGGACATATCAATATTTAACAGAATTGTGTTCAAAAGAAGAAAGGCATATAGTTTTTTAATTACGAATTAAATTGTTGAGAAGTGCAATGCCCTCACTCATTTGAGACACCAGTCCTGTACCAGGCAAGCAGCACCTCCTCTCACACTAAAGAGCAGACCACTGATGCAAGGGCATGACTCCCCACCAACTCCAAGACAGCCTTACATTGTATTCCTCCACAATACAGAGCAACAAAGGCGGGGACACATCAAGGAACTTGATTCTGGGCAAGGATAATGTCCAGTGAAAGAACAGAGCAAACAGGGCAAGTGATTGAAAGCATTAATCCAACAGTTTATTCAAAGCCCCACCCTGCAGCCTCCATCCAGCAGGGATGATGGGGGGAGGTTTAACTGCATTTCCTATCTACCAACAGGAACAAAAATATGCTTTGACTTGTGTTGTAACCATAGCATGGGGGCTAAGAAACAGCGGATCCTCTGATGCAGTCCTGGGTAACAATACTAAAGCAGGATGCATCACAATCCTGGACTTGAAGTTATATTACAAATCTACTGTGAGAAAAACACCATGATTCTGATATGAAAACAGACATGATAGTTAATCAAACAGAATAGATGATGCAGAAACGAACCAAAGCACATTCAACTATTTGATGTTTGCACTTGGTAAGTAGAGACAAGAGAATTGTTGTAAAGTTTGAGGCCAGACTGTTACACAGTAAATTCAAGCCAAGTCTAAATTAACTAGGGAAAACCTACCTCATAAAACCATCACCAACAAAAAAATACGTTAAATAAAATATACGTTAAATTATGTGACTTCAAATTCTCAGAAACTAGAAATCTGGAAATATGTTGGATTACAGCGATATAGAAATTTAGCAGATAGATAGAATTTTTACGATTATTTTAATTAGATTTTATGTTTACTCTAAAAATACTTTTGTTTTATTTTGTAGTTTTGAGACAAGGCCTTCCTTGTAGTCCAGGCTGGCCTTGAACTCACTATGTAGCCCAGGTTGACCTTGAACTCATAGCAGCTCTCCTGCCTCAGTCTCCTGAGTGCTAGAATCACAGACATGTGCTACCACACTAAGCAAAAATATTTGAAAGCATGACTTAAGTGAACTATTATCAGAAGATATTTGTTTAGGCTATAGAAATTTCCTTTATAATTAGAAAAATGTAGAAGTTATTTGTAGAGTTGATGACTGCAAGACCTGCAGAAGCAGACACTGAACTGTCTGAAATGAAAAAATTAAGCATTACCCAGATACACTCAGGCCATGTGGGGTATAAAAAATAATACTAATATCTTTTTGAATTTTTAATTTGAAATTAACAAATTATATTTGTATATATTTATGGAATATAAATGCAAGTCATGCTGCATGTACATCGTGTGGAGAGATTAAATCAAGCCAATTAACATATCTATCATATTAATTCCTTAATATTTTCTGATAATAGCATTGGAAAGTTACTCAGCAATTCTTAAACTTACATTATTATTAAACATAGTAACCAGGGATTCATTTTTCATAAAATTTTGAGTGTTACTTAAAAAAGAAATGCAATAATTTTAATGACAGATGGCCTAGTAACATGTGGTTACAAGGGAATTTACGGTGTCCAGGGAACTTAGAGACATTATCTGGGGAGGAATTCATAAAGCAAAGTCATTTTTAATGTTTACAAGTGATTACTAGTAGAGGTATACCCTAAATAATGAATTTTTTCCATTTAAGAATCCTGTATTTCTGTACAAATAAAGAATAAAATAACTTTTACTACAGAAAAAGTTGTGAGCAAGAAAATATCATTTATATTTCTATGTAGGGAAATCATTGTGATTAGTATTTTCTTTCTAGGCATATGTAGATATAAAACATAGTCTACATGTTTACTATTAAACACAAGATAATATTATTGTATTTTTAACTGACAGCATTTATAGTTTGTGTATTCTTTCAGATACATAAATGCTCTTTCATTATTTCTAAATTTTGGCATAGTATTTAATATATAGTAGAAGAAGTACATGTACTTAACTAAGTCTGTAATTTTGGACAGTTAAGTAGCTTCTAATTTTACATTATTTAAAATATCTTTCTGACAAAAGTTTTGTAATTATGTCTTACATACCAAGGATTGTTCCTTTAAAATCCTCTCTCCTTTCCCCAAAACAACCACTTCAAAGAGGATTATATGAATTATTTTGTAGTTTTTGTTAACTGTTGTAAACTTCTTCCAAAGTTTAAACCAACTGGCATTATTATTAAGCAATCTTTCGGACCATATGTTTCACAATATTTTTCTCCAGAAATTCATTTACATTTTAATCAGTTATACATTTATATGTTGTTTTCTAGTTGTATTTAAAAAGTTGAGGACAAACTCAAAAAAGATAATTTCTATATTGATATTATAAAGTTTTGAACCGTTATTGTCTGCAACATCTATCTTTTTGGGGGTACTTTATTCTTTTTAAATTATGTCATAGTATCTCTATAATTATATGAAATAACAGTATTTATCTTTTTAAATGAAGAAATTGAAATTACATTGATGAGCAAATAAAACACAGATATTCAATAGTTATTTTAGGCTTATACTACTGTAATTACTAAGGTAAGTGAAATTTTTGTATTTAACGTTTTGAAAACTATGCCGAGTTTGACTATTGGTGTAAAAAGATAGTGAATCTATGATAGGCTTCCATAGCACCCTCCATTTTTCCTATTTCGCCCTCTATGGCACCATACTGTAATTGCTTTGCTGTTTGCTTTATAAGTTGACCATAAACTCTGCAAGGCCAATTTTCATGCCAAATATTCTCAGGATGTTAACTTTAAGGTCCACCAGAATAACAAGTGCTTCATAATTACTTACTAAACGAATTACTTTAAAGTCCCTTAAAAATAAACCTACATATCTTATACAGAAGTCTGTTTTATGAATCAATATTGCTTTATGTAACTGTGAAAGTTGATTATATAGTGTTTTCATTTGTAATAAGCATCGTCAATATTTAATAAAATGAGTTCTACCATGAGCCAGACACCGTTTTAAAGTCATTCTGATGTACTGATTTAACTTATAATTAAATGCAACTGAATTTCAAACTAATCCAAAACAGCTAAGTAGCCAGTGGGTGGCAGAAATGAAACTCAGCTTACTGAACTCTCATTTTCTGTCTCTGAGGAGCTACACTTTCCATTGAACTATTCCATAGCACACCAATCACAAGACATTGGTTTCCAGTATGACTCAAGAGTAGATTATTGTTATTAATAATAGAATATTAGAATTTGGAGAGCATCAGTTTCATTTTACAACTATGAGTGCTAAGGAGCTCAAAGGTTAAGGTACTTGTCTATCATTTCTAAGACGAGTCTTAAATTTACATTTTTTTCCATATATGATGGTGTCAGTAACCATTAAAGATACAGTACTATACATTTCCAATCTTCAGAAAAGGAAAATATTTCAAGATACACTTGTGGGACAATTTTGAAAAATCAAAATTTTTTATGACTGAAATAACTAATGAAGATCATGTGTCTCTTAATTTCTATTCAGTGACTTATTTTATGTAAACAACTAAAACACACTTAGCACTTCAGAACCGAAACAGATGTTTTCAGGATGTTGGTTATGTGCAACAAATATTTGTGACCATCTGATGAATACAGGCCTTTAGGATACATGTGCATGGGGGCAAATTAAAATGTAGTTAATAAGGCAAAAAGTTTTACTATAGATAGACACTTTTAAAAGTCATAGTATTTTCTTTTCTGCTTTCTAGTAATGACATACAATTTATTTATTTTGAATGAATACTTTTTGTAAATCATTACATTGATTTTACTTTTATTTTTATATAAATAAAGCAGTTTATAATTGTGCTGAATGAACAAATGAACAAAGATACTTTATTGCACATAGAAAATATTTCACATTAGTATTGCACATGACAAAGCTGATTAGGACAAACACAAACTTGTCAGACATGACTGATACTATTCCAGGATTGAACAATACAGAATATTTCCTGATACAGGTTTCTCACCCTACATATTGCACATTTTCTAAAACTTTTTATCTGCTTTACAAATATTCTTCATAGTCTTTGCTTTCGTCTCTTCTTTCAAAAATGCTAGTGGAAGATATTAAAGACAAGGAAATATGCACTATTGAAAAAGACCTGCCTGCAATTAAGGAAGTTAAAAAGTAAAAGGTTGACACTACTCTTTGGGAAGAAAAATGACAAAGTAACATGGCAAATTTCTGCAAATACAGGAAAATGCTACAAAACCTAGTTCCACGAGCATATATTCATTTGTGAATTCTTTCTAAAATTTAAGAATTCCCTTAAAATCGACATCTGTGTTACTAGTCAAAGATCCATTTACTTATATTCAATATTTACTATCACTGTTTAACTTGTTCACATAGTGCAAATGCATGAGATGCACTCACTGTTGGTAGTTATTGGACAATAAATAATAACTTTAAAACAAGTTATTTTATTATTTATGTACTTTTAAAAATATAAAGTGCATCTAAAAGACTTTATAGTCATTCTTGGACATGATTACCCATCAACTTGTGATATTTTCAGCACATGGCAGAAAGAAATCACAAAGCAGATTTTCCTGAAATTTCTTTGTCCCACAGTTCTGTATGGAAGATAATTTCCAAAATAACACAAAACTTGTCCATCAAGTCTTGATAGAAATTTCTGACCCTGGAGCAGCATCCATTGACACAACTTTCCTTTAGTTCAGTGGTATAGTAAGGCCAGGGACATGTGTTTCCTCATCATCTGGAGGGTTTGCTGCAGATCCAGTGCAAACTCTGCTCACATTCTGTGCTGCTGACCTCTGTGCTGTTCAGAAACGCACAGTTCTCATATCTTGTGAGGTTGAACCTGCCAAACAGTAAAATCAGAATTATTTTCAGTTCCTCATTTCTTTTCAGTTCCATGAAAATACAATTTGTGTTGACATCTTGTTTTCTTTTCTTTTCTTTTTCTTGGTAGGAAATATGAAATAAGTCAATCACTAACATAATCATAATCTAATCTGCATAGGGAAAATAGATAAGAAGTGACAAGAATATATGGAAAAAGTACACAGGACTAACAGCAAAGTGCCCTGTTCATTTGATTGGCGTGTCACTAAAGAAATGATTCTTGGTAACTTTTAAGTTCATAGGTTCTTCAAGAAATGCTTAAAAATTTTTACATATTAAACAAACACACATACTTGTGCATAGCTTTAGGTGCTTTTCAGCCTCTGCAGCCCGCTTGCAGATGTGGGGCAACAGGAAACTTATTAAGAATTTCTTTACTAGAGATATCATTTTAAAATCTTGATATTATATCCGTGTTTGTCATAAGACTATTAAGAAAGTGGAAAATTACTTCAATTTGGGGTTTTCAGATCAATATCAAGCTTATAAAATGTCACTCAAAAATAAAAATTTAGCTGGGATTTAGCTTAGCAGCACAAATGTCTGCCTCGCAATTGTGAGGTTATGAGTGTGATTCCCAGTACAAAAAAAATTAAAATATAATTTAAGTAAAGGTAATGAAAATAGAATTAGTATTTCTAATTCTGGATTTTGAAAATATTGTTCTTTATCCTCTGGGCAGATGAAAGTTGAAAGGAAAAAAGGGAAATTCTTTCCCAAAAATGGTCTCATCAGTCATCATCATAATTATTCTCGGACCATTTTTAAGCTTTCTATTATGATTCTGCAGAGAAAAAGATGACATACAATTCTATTGTATGATGTTAAGTGAGTAGAGAAAATGCTATAACAAAACCTATCTTTAAAGAATTTTGAATAGTATAAACAAAAGAAATTGTTACCGCTGCCCTCATAAATAGGCTATTTAGCCTTTATAGCTAACAGTGTTTTGGAAGGAATAAAGGTGAAATAAGAAGAAAAAATGAAACAAGACAATCTGTCTGAAGTGATAGCCTGAGGAACAAACAGAGAATTCCTGATACTTACCAGCGGTTAAATACTTCGCCATTTGACCATTTCCAAGTCTGACGAGTTTCATTTTTCAGCCCAATCCAGTGTTCAGCTCTACCCGCATACCGCTGTAGAAAGATCTTGAAGCACAAATACATTTTTAAGTTAAACAATTGAGTGAACAAGTGTTCAATACAATTTTGTTTCTCAAAAATTACAATTTGGGATTTTTGCATGGGATCAGCTTTTTGTGATTTCTAATCCTTGCTGCTAATCAATCAAATCCCACTTAAAGACTTTATTAAAATTTCATTTTTACTTTAGACTTTTCATCTAGCTGTGATGAAAATTCTCTGTATGTAAGATACATGCATATTTTTTCACTTAGGAATAGAAAGAAATCATAGATTAACTATATAAAATAAAATAGTATTTTGATCAGTTTATTTTCAATCTTACCATGTCCTTTTCAGAATCAATGACAGCAAGAGTAGCACCATCTTCAGAGCAAGAGTCTCTAGCTGAGGTCCAGTTCCTTGTTGTGGTAGAAAAGAAGTAGCATTTCCTGTGGTATAGAATCCACTCATTGGAGCACGAAGGCACATCGCTGTCTGACAACATGGAGACCTCATATTGGCCTGGGCAGTTGTATTTTCCCACTGTGAACAGGAAAGTGATTTATTTAGTAGCAGAAGAAACCAAATACCCTCATCATGTAAACTTGATGTAGAGAAACTGTAATTGTGAGAAGTGATGAAGGGTGACACCAAAGACATCCATTCTGAGAACAGTAAGAAGAAAGCAGATGCCCATCTCCCTGATGTCTCATTGTGTCTAATCCTGATTGGAGGGGGTCTCAGCAAAGGGTGTCTCTTTTATCCTAATGTAAGAAGCAGGCAAGAAAACGGCAAGGTCAGGGGGAAGAACCCAGAAAATGACCCTTGGACTGAAGAGGTAATGTGCAGTGTAAATTCCAAGTAAAAGTGTGAATCTAATTGCAGAGGTATAGGAATTTGAAGGTACAGTAGGTATAAATCTAAATTGAGAGACCAGGGAGAGATTAACTATTAGTTAACTAACTCAAAGAACAAAAAATGGCTGGGGATGTTTCATAAAGTTGTAAAATTTTTTATTTGTTAAAGATGTAAATATCTTTTGGCATACATGCTATTATAATGGGTATTTTCTATGATTTCACTGCTCATGCTCAGGGAGGTTTTGAGTTTCTAGCTATTACCTTATTAATCTAAACCACCATTCTGTTGCTTTGAAATTAAAGATCAGAGACTGGTTCTCTTATTCGGATTAATCTATGGTTTGGATATTTGTCTTTTCTGCTTGTGAGAAGTGGAAGGTACATGTATTTCCCTAGCTACATATCTATTATTTAAATTCCAAATTAGCCCCCTTCCTTCTAGATATAAACATCTTCTCTAATTTTCTCTCAAAGTAATGTATAAATCTTAACACACTTAAAACTATCACAATAATCATTCAAAGAACATGGAACTATATTTAGTCTTCATTAAGAATTTGGCTCTGTATTAGATATGACATAAACAAAAATTAATATTCCTGATTAATTGGATCAGGTAAACACTGATTTCATTTACTCATGAATGCTTAGAGCTAGAAGGCTTTAAAGAAAAAATGCTTGAAGTGAAGACTCACCAAATAGGGCGATGACAGTAATGAATAAAATGGTAATGAAGACCACAATCAGAACAGCACACGGGATAGGAACTTGGAGAGATCCTTCATGTTGCGTTTCAAAACGGAAGCTAGTGGCATTATCTGAAAAGGTGACAGCTGGTGATGAATTCAGGTAGACTGTTAAGGTTAGGCTTTTGAAAATACTTTGAGTCATTTAAAATTTTTAAAAAGATATTTTCCCATCTCCTCTTGAAGGTCATATAAACGTGAAATATGACATTTGAGTGCAGCCAGAGGAACGGATATGTGGACAAGGAGAACAGTAGTTGTATTAATGAGTATGGGAAAGGTTATTTAAGAGGAATTAGACACTGTGGAGCCTTCTAGGATGAAGGAACGATTCAAGTGGATACATAATTATCATAACGTATCATTTGTACATCCATATGCATAAATTATATTGTAATTAAAAAGCACATACAAATATGAAGCATTTAAATTTTCTAAGTGTTGTCACAGTAATGGAGAAAACTGCTCTATTATGGAACAGATATTGAGTGGAAGTTAATTTTTCATTTACTCTTTTATATAATGATAAAAAAATGTTTAAATTTTCTTTAACTTACAAGAAATATGTGTATGGAAGGATTTAGAAGGGTAGAACATCTACTGGCAAATGAATAAAAGGAAATTGTGAGTAAAAAGGGAAAATAATTTTGTGGTTCAGACTTTGAAACTTGCTATTGAAAGATGAAATATCAAGATTTTTTAAGAAAAAGATCCCCCCAACCATACGCTGGTATGTTCTCAAATTCCCTATTATTATTACTAATTATGGTCTGTAAAACTGAAATGTGAAACGGGTTGATTGACACTTTGACAAAGAAAAAAATCTCTGAAAACGAAAATACCGTTTTTTAAAAATATGGATGATTTCAAAACTAAAAAGGTATTTACATAAGATATAGCTTGACATGTATGTGTTTTTTCCACATATTTCACAAGCAGATGTTGCTTTCTTTACAGTATTCTGTAGACACTATCAATATCAAATTTTGCTTCTTCTAAAGATTCTTTTCTCCTGCACATAGCTGCTTCCAGATTTTGCAAGAGAAGTCTGTAGTTTACTCCTATCTAGTCTTAGTTCTCTGCTTCTCAAAGCAATTCTTCTTTTTTTTTTTTTTATCCGTACACTATTTTCATAAGGAGCAGTCTTTGATAGGTCAGATACCAAGTTCAGAGATCGCTCTAGTTTCATTTTCCGCATGTGAGTCAATCATGCTGCTTGGACCCAAGGCTGCAGTACTCTGCCTCCTCAGAAAGCACTCAGACATCCAAGTAACTAGCACATCTCCAGGCTAGCTCCACCCGTGGGTCCACCCAGGATGTAGGCTATAGAGGTGACTCTCAGGTGACATTTTATTTACATTATTGAGGGCTACTCTTAACCACAGTTTGCCTTGTCACCTAGGTGACAAAACATTTCCCCAACAGCACACTTCTGCTCTGATGATAGGTCCTTTCCTTTAATGGAGAAACTGAACGTAGATCTACCTATTTGTTACCTATTGAATCACCCAAGAATGCCACTGAATGATTGCGCATACTACCAAAACAGCTACAGGTGAAGAATAAACAGTCAACAGAAAATAGGGATGATCCTAGGTAAAATTAAGAATTTCTACATCATGTCCTCTCAACTATGGTTTCTATAATTCAACGATTTTATCATTTCTTTTCCTTAGCAGCTCAGTGGGGCCATAAAGTTGTGGTTCACTCAGCTGCCTAGAAATTTATGTGACTTGTATTTATGGTCTACTAAGTAGATTTTATTGACTTTATGTTCTTAAAAAAGTTGGGTTCGTCAACGGTAATTGATACTTTCCCACAGCAAACTGATATAATAGATGTATGCTCAAAAAGTTTCTTTTTCCAGATACTGTTTTGATTCTGCTGTTTCTAATGAACCCCTTCATTAACTGGGTAGTTCTCACTTACAATAAACCTTAATTCCTGAGTGCTAGTGCCTTGGAAGATTCATTCATTCAGTAGAGGGAGAGGAATAAAAACATCAAGAAATCTTACAGAAGCAAATCAATGAAAAAATTAGGTTACAGAACATAGACTCGATACATAGACACAAGAAATAGAAAAGAGGAAATTCATAAGATGATCACACTTTGATGAAAAATAAAAGAAAGCAGGAAAAATAAAGTTACATAGAATTTGAAGCCAGTGATTAGAAGAGTCAGGTAGAAGAAAGAAATGAAGAAAAGAGATTTCCATGAAAATTAAAATAGAAGACTACATTTTTGAGAACTCCATTTTTTTATAGTCTCCCCATAAAGTACCACTGGATGATGTAAATTTTTAAGTGGTTTTATCATGGCTGTTCCAAAGTCTGAAATCCTGCATACTTCCACCACCTAGAGAATGCTGTTCTGACAATACAGGATGAGGTGACAGAAAGCAGACAAAGGTACGAGGGAAGATAACCAAGAATGTGATTACTTACATGGACAACTGAATTTTCCAGAGAGAGACTATTTCCTGGAGTGTGCACACCATGGCTATAGATATACAAAGGGATGTAGGTGGGCTAGGGCAGGGAGTTTTGCACTTAAATCTAAACGCTAAGATGATAGAAGCTGATTTAAAAGAAAATATCTTTAAAGATTTTCTGAAATTCACCCTTGTAATATCATCCTCTCAGGTATTTTATAGTCTCACAGGTGAAGAGGTACTGTTATCTATCTCTTTCCAGTTATTCTTTTTATGCTTAGTGAAATAGAATCTGTCCAAGTTCTCTGAAAGGCTGTCACATTTTTCCCCTAACATCTTGTATATGATACCGAGAGATATCACTGGCATATAAGAAATCAAGACTTACTTACTTTTTTTCCTTTTCTCCTGATGCAAAGAGCTAGTCTCTGTTATGGAACAGTCTTCAGGATTCATCTTTACTCGCAAGATCGCCAGTTAGTTTCAAGTCAAATCAGCCTGCAGAGACTCTTCCTTGAAGCTCTTGTTCAGTCTGGGGATCTCTGAGGCATCTTAGCATTTATATCTCTTTGAGTATCTCCACCCCCTTCCTTTTATCTCCTGCTTGCCCTGCCCAGCCACTTCTCTTTAATTCATGCTCCAGTGGCCCAGACAATGGACGGTGTGTTGTGGTGAGGTGTGGGTTTCCCTGGCCATCTGAAATGTGGTTTCTCACAACTGTAGGTGTATCATGAAGACAACAGTGGGGATTTTCCCAAACTCACAAACATCCATCTTTAACTTCTTTTTCTAAAAAAACAAGCACTTTAGGAGACAGTATAATCTAAGTGATGAATTAAAGGTTAGACATCCCTGTTTTTTACATGTGAATAGTTTATAGGCAAGCATAACATTTTCCTAGAATCCCATTCATTGATTTATTCATGAATTTAATGACTACTATTTATTGAATAACTGCTATATACTTGATAATGTTTGGGGTCAAAGGATTTATTGTTCAATATGAATTTTTAAATCTCTGACCTTAAAGATCTCTCTCGGGCCTGAAAGTGTTTTAATTAGGAAGACGTAAATAAAATAGCTTTCAAAGTATGCCATATACCCTTCCTTGGGGACTAGTTCTTTTAAGGTATCGTAAGTAGTCGTCTTAAAGCAGGAAATAGAAAGCTTGTGGTCTGGAACTTCCTTGCTCTGTGCTAAAATTGTTTATCTTAAATTACCTCTTTCATTCCATCCTGCTAATGTCCTTGCCATGTTTTACTATTGTTTAGACTGGTTTACATTTACTTCAGTAACATTTTATTCTAGTTTTCAACTATTTCTTGTAGGTTATTCTGTTTGGTTATGGTTGAAATTTGTATAAAAAGCATACTGTTGATCGCATCTAAATGAAACATAATCTACATAGAGACTCTATGTATAGGACTTAGATGGAGAGTAAAATAGCATCATAGTTAATAAACTTGGTATCAAAAATTTTATTACTAGTATTTCTTATTAGAATAAAGTGTTCCTGCCTTCAGCATAAAGCCATAGTGAAAATGCTATGCTTTTGTGTGTTGGAAATCAACATTTAGAGAAGTATGTTGGGTGATCAGGTATATTTGTCTACCCAAGACTCAGTGGTATACATTGGGAGAAAAATCTCTTTATTTCCACTTTATCTTCATAAAATCTTCTCTCAATAATAGCTGGAAAGAAGTTTTTAAGTAACTGTTAATGTTTTGTTGAGATATTCAACTTGTATCCCTTTCAGCCTAGAAAGCTTCCTGTCAAATGTACCATAAAATCCAAAGGCCTTATAGTTAGAAGGATTTGTACATTGAATAACCCCCTCATTCCCTCTCCCACTGTGCCGTTTTCTCTATTAACACTACCCTTTCCATTTATAATCTTTTGATATGGCATAAAAATATCATACATTCTATCACTACAGGGTCTTTTATTTTTTCCCTGAAAGTTTCTTCCTACATCTACTCACATGTCTTGCTTTCCCTTCTATTTAATTCCCTCTTCATTCAAGGGCCACTTGCTTGGAGAATTACTCATCATTAATGAAATGGAGCCACATACTTTCTGCTTCTGTGTACATATTTTTCTTCACATCAGTGTTAATAACCAGTATTGCACCATTGTTTATCATAACTTTCCATACTAGACTCTAAGCTGATTTATGAAAAGGACTTAGATTTGCTCCTTCTGGGTCTTTAGCTTCTTTTCACAGTAACTGGAAACTATGTATTCAACACAAAATTATTGAATGACTGAATGAATATCAATTACAAAGATATGAAAGATAACTAAAAAATCAATAGCATTGCTCTATACAAACAAAAAATCACTGAGAAAGAAATTATGGAAATAACATCTTTCACAACAGCATTCAAAACAGTGAAGTATTTAGGAATCAACCTAACAAAGGATGTAAAAGATCTATATGCTGAAAACTATAGTATTTGAAAAAAGGAGATTGAAGAGAAATTGGAAAGACATACCTTGCTCTTTGTTAGGAGTATAAAAATGGCCATACTCCCAAAACTGTTATACAGATTTAATGCAATGATGATCAAAATACTATTAATATACCTTATAGATCTAGAGAAAACATTCCTAAAATTCATTTGAAATAGAAGTGACCCCAAATAGCAAAGGCAATCCTGGGCAACAAAAGCAAGACCAGAGGCATCACAATCCCTGACTTAAAATTATACTACAAAGCTACAGTGACAAAATCAGTATGGCACTGACAAAAAAAAAAAAAACAGACCTCAGGATCAACGGAAGATTAGAAGATTAGAAGATGCAAACACAACTACAAAGATACTCAACCACCTTATATTTGACAAAGGGGCTAAACATGTTCACTAGAAGAAAGATAGCCTCTTTAATGAATAGTGCATGAAAAATTGGATGTCTACATGCTGAAGACTGTAACTGGACTCATGTTTAGAAACCTGAATTAAACTAAAGTCAAAATGACTCAAAGATCTAAATATTAAAACAGAAACACTAAATCTAATGGAAGACAAGGTAGGTAGAAATCTTGAAGACATATGGGTAGGCAAAGAGTTTGTGAACAAAATACAAACTGTGTGGGAAGTACTTCAAAGAATCAACAACTGGGATCTCTTCTTATTAAAAAGTTATGTACTTCAGAAGAAATCACCAAGAGAGTAAAGAGAAAACCCACAGAATAAGAAAGAATTTTAGCCAGCAGTCCCTCAGACAAAGGACTTATATCTAGAACATGTAAAGAACCCCCAAATGCAAAGACCTAATCCAAAAATGGGCATCTAAAATAACCACACATTTTTCAGATGAAGAAATACGAATGACAAACAAATTGCTCAGCATCACTGGTCATTGGAGAAATGAAAATTAAAACAGCATTGAGTTTCCATCTCACTCCAGAAAGAATGGCTGCCATCAAGAAATCAACCAATAACAAATATTAATGGGGCTGTGGGAAAAAAGGATCATTTCTCCACTGCTGGTGGGAGTATAGACTGGTACAGCCACTGTGGAAATCAGCATGGAGATTCCTAAAAAATCTAGGATTGGAAGTCCCATTTAATCCAGCTATTACACTTCTGGGTATTTTCCCCAAAAAATTGAGAATGTCATCCACAGAGATATGTGTGTACCCATGTTTATAGCAGCGCAATTGTTGAAACAACCAGAATGCCCATCAACTGCAGAATGAATAGAAAGATGTAATATTTTTATACATTGGGATGTTATTCAGCTATAAAAAAGGATGATCTTGAGGCTTCTATAGGTAAATGGAGACAACTTGAGACCATATTCATAAGTGAAATAAATCAAACACACATTTATAAATATTGTATTCTCTCATAGAATAATAAAAAGATATAAAAGATAAAGTATTTATGAAGATCTAGAATATGGAATGCTATGCAGGATTGAAGTATATAGATTTAGACTTCTCCTGGACAATAAACGTATGCATGAATACCATGGATGGATAACAAAGGAGGAGTTAAATTTGATTCTTAAAAGAATTTCAACCTTTATTGCTAATACTTTCTATCAGTTTCTTTGGATTAAAGCAACTACAGCTTTTAATTTTTTTTTTTCATTTTTGTAGTTGGAATATCTTGGTTAATAGCCACATTGGACCTAATTTCACACACCTTGTGAAGAATTCGTGACACAGTATCATGTAATAAATATGCAACATTTCTTAAAATCTCTTCTTTATCTGTGGTGTACAAAAAGGAAGAAAGAAAATGTGCTTTCACACAGTGATTACCTTTTCATGTGTCTTTGCCACTTGTAAAGGATTTCTTGCAAATTGATTAAACTAACCTAGAAATAATATCCCAGTTTTCATATAATTATTAATGTGTCTTTTCCCTTCTGGTGATTCATTTGTAAGTGGAAAATCTGATTTCTCAAGCTGGATATTGATTATCCTTGAAATCTGAATGTTAGGGGACAGTCTGGTAAATCAACATCATAAACACTTTCAAGACAGATACTCATTTTCTATCATTTTCATTCTTGCCTTTTTGCTTCAGGCCGACCACGCTGTCTTTTATTTTCTTTCTTAAAGAAGTTGAAATTTTTTGTCTCATTTTACAAGACATGTTCTTGTTGTTTCTATTCTCAGATTTTTCACGGCTGCTTCTTTCTCTTCGTTTATGTATGACCCCATAAATTACCTTCTCAACAAGACCTTGCCTGACCACTTATATAAACTGCCTCCTATTAACCCCTATTTATTACCTCATATTCTTCTAGTTTATAGAACACATTGTCTTTTGAAATTCTGTAGTTCATTTATTTATATAATCTTTTAAGATCAAGTGATATGTGAAGGAATTTGAATTTTGAAAATTTGATGCCCATGTAATTTTGTAATTTTGGAATTTTGGAAAACTTATTAAGTTTGCCTGGACCAAGCAGGAAGGCAGTAGGACACCCAAACCTAGTACAGCTCTTTTTCGTGGGTGACCTTATATGAACAATCCGGGGGAAGGTTTCAAAAAGGAAATGAAGTAATGTGAGCTAGATGCAAAGTGCTGCAGGGAAGGCAGGATATACAGTCCTTATCAGACAGCAGCTGCTCTAGTGACACATGTTCACAAAGACCACAACTTCCGACCCAAGGCAATTTCCGGAAAAAAGCTGCTCATCATTTAAAATTTTTTTTTTTACTTTTTTCTTTCAGAAGGTGAATTAGGTTTTTAAATGCCTTTAATCTACTTGTGAATCAAAGCTTCAAGTGATTTCATCCTTTATTAAATGAAAGATGTTATATACATTGATAGTTTATTTTTAAAAAACAGGTGTGTTTTTGAGTTGGTTACCATAAAGAGTCAGTAAAGATAATCATGAGTAAATGGGGAATTTCCCATTCAAAACACTTTCCAACCTTCTACGCTTTCTGGGTTAACTCTTTGAACTTTCTTATTTTCCTCTATGATGAAACATCTTACACATAAAAGGAGTTTGGAAAGTCTGAGTTGGTATGTTTCTTCTTGACTTGAGATGGTGCAGGT